CATCAAGATTGTGGAACAGCTGTATGGCTCAACCTCCATCCAGTGGCTGCATGGTGCAGAGCTAGCTATGTGTGGGCTATAGGCAGCACTAGTGCCTAGCAGCACAATCAAGAGGCCTCTTCACTGAGTATATAAAAGAGTCACACAGAATAAATAAGCTGACATGAACCATGTGCAAATGAGAAGACTCTTAGTCATCAGTTAAACAAAGTGTTCTATAAGTGCATCATTTGCTATGCAGAAATCATGTAGAGCCCTGTGACTAAGCTGAGACACTAGGAGAAGAAAAAGCAAACACAGGTATATTATGCAAATACTTTCAATGGGAGGAAGAGGAAGAAAGTTTTCATGGGGAGAAAAGGATGATTATAAGTTCTGAAATCCAATTTCCATTCATTCAAGCTTTTGTTACTCTGAAACACATCACCCACAGATGAAACCATCTGTGTATTGTAGTTAACCCTAGTGATATGATTCCATTTCAACTTTTTATTTAGCTAAAAAATGTTGGAAGAAGAGCATGTTTGGATGTTGGAGAAAATAATTCAGGCGGCAAGCCACTAATAATGTATACCTGTCATGGGCTTGGAGGAAACCAGGTAAAATTACTTTATGCGTGTGTGTATGTGTATGTGTCTACATAGTACATACAACTTTATACTCTTTCTGTACTTTTCTAAACTTGTCACTGTCTGGTTACCACAAGATCTATAGAAACAAGTATTTTCCAGTGCTGTAGACACAATAGTATCGGTCTTCAGTGCTCTTTTAAGTCAAACCAGTAACTATTCTGTCCAGAAAATCCTTCAAGCTATCCGTTAAGATAACAACCTTAGAATATTTTGGAACACAGTAAAAAAGTTGGTGTAGAAAGGATTCCCAAGGGATAGGGAATGATTGTCAAATTACTTCGTATGCTTAGTTGGTATGCAATTACATTTTTACCTATACAATAGCATCTTTGCATCCCTTACCAACTCACCATCTACATCTTAGTCTGATGTATTGCATTAACTCCAGGTGGCAAGGTTAGTTCCCGATTCAGTGTGAACCAGAAAATTGGGTTAGTTGAACTACAGAATTTAACCATGGGTAAACCATTGTTTAGATATTGTAATTAACACAATAATGCTTTTAAAATGTTTAAATAATAGCAAACATGTCAAGATTCTGTTGTAGATTTTTTAATGATAGTCATTTAATGAAGGCTTTGCTAAAGGATTTTTTAATGGCTTTTGCTGAACGCTTTGCTAAAATGTATGGGGAGCCCCCATTTCTTTCTTGACTAGCAAAGAAGTCAAGAGAGTTTATCACCTGAGGAGTTCTGGACACCCTGAGCTTCCCACAGAATGCTTTTATGAACTAACAATGCACCATTTCTTAATAATAATATGTCATGCCAGAAAAAAATCAAAATGATAGGTGGCAATCTTTTGTTAACTAGGAGATTGTGTATTGCACCTGTCCAAAAATGGTAGCAAAGCATACACATATACACACACCTCCATACACCTAAAGTATTTATTTAATCAGTTTCTATAGTGGACATGTCAAACCATTTGACTCTCGGCGGCAAACAATATCACAATAATTAAAACACAAAAACAGTTACAAATTATACATATGGGCAGCTGAAAGTTCTCTTCATAATTATGAAACAATTAACACTGCAACCAGGTAACAAGACCACTAACACTTTCAGGACCTCAGTTTCAGGCACATAGCCAGATCTTTAAAGCTTTACAAAAAACTAAAAAGCCGGAGGCCATCCTGAGCTCCAAAGGAAGAATGTTCCAAAGGGCAGAGGTTTGTTCTGAGAAGGAATGCCTCCTGGTCCCCACCAGCTGACATTCCTTGGCTGATGGAACCCACAGCATTCCCAGTCTACTAGACCAAATTGGACAGGGAGAAAGTACTGGGAGAATCCAGTCTTTAAGGTACCTTGGTCTAATATAGTATACTACTCCCCTTAGCTGCCTAAGTCAGGGTAGTTCCAGAGCAAATACATATCTTCTAATAATTGCCCTAATAGCTTTGATTCTGATTTCTTTAAATTTCTTTTTGACCATGTTACCACTAGTTCCTTTTGTGCTTCTGTCTCTACAGCACTCTGGCCTTTTTTCTGTTCTGTCTTTCCTGTCTTCTAAACTTGATAACCTTGACTCTTCCTTCTCTGCTTTTTTTTCCTTTCCTCTAGAAGTTTTTGCTGTCAAGGAGAGAGCCACTATGTGATTGAACAACCAGGCCCGAGTCATCTGTCCTGTCATATTTAAAACCTCATGCTGAGAGGTCAGAGAGCTCTTCCTTGTAGTAAAAACCACCTCCTATTTTGAGTCTTGGGTGAATATCTAATGAGCATTCCTGGACATACAGCCAGCTTTTGTTAAAAGCTGAAGAGCAGTATAATTATATAATATATTAAAATGAATGTGTCAATATGCTGCACTAATGAAACCTGATGAGAGTGTTCCTTATTATTCTATTAAAGCATTTGCTAAATATCAAAGCCAAAAAAAACCCCAACTCTTCTGGTTTGCTATTGTATTATAAAAGGCTTTCACTCTGGTTTTGGCAAAACTCAGTCCTTTTTTCAGAATTCAGTAGCAATAAGTAAATCTTAAATTTCCTTCTGAAATTGCTGAAGTTTATATTTTAAAGGTTGTTAATTATAGAATCATTAGATATTCCACTGACTTTTAGGCTAACTCTGTTCTCTACAAATAAATTTCTTGGGAATAATGCCATTGATACATATATACTTCTCCATAGTTCTCTGCTTTGCGTATCTTGAAAGAAATTATATTTTAGCATTAACAGAATCTTTTTAATAGAGGATGTCAGCCTTTCTCAACTGGGGTTCCACAAGTTTGAAAAATATTACACAATATATTTTTAAACACCGCACCACTCAGTTCTAGTGCTTACAGTGGTGAGAATTTTTACAGGCAACAACTCAGCTGCCAATCTGCCACTTTTTTGTTATAAATATTGTGAAGCGTGAATTTTATAGGTTAGAACTGGATTGTATTTTGAAGTTTTCTTATTTTGGCAATCTAAGCAGAGGTTCCCTGAAACCTGAAAATTATTTCAAGGGCTCCACCAGTATAAAACAGTTGAGAAAGGCTGGATTATGTTATAGGCAGTTAACCCTTTCTATTTATCATGACTCTTTGGTGACATAAATACACAACCTACAAAATGCAGTTTTGGAGTTTGATTAACATTTCTTTGGAAATTAGAGCAATGAATTTGTATCATTATTCTTTTGAGTGATGACTGACATTTGTTTATACAGTATTTTGAGTACACTGCACACCATGAAATTAGACACAATATTCAGAAGGAGCTATGCCTACATAGTTCTCAAGGAGTAGCACAACTTCATGAATGCGGTTTCAAAGGAAAGAATAGCAGGACTCCTGAAGAAGAGAAATGGGAGCTTCGAAAGGTATTTTTTTTCCCTACAAAATAATATGTTTATTTAGTGCAAAACTTGCCTTATGAAAATATTCTCGAGGTGGCTGTCCCAAAATTGTAGAGATGCTTTATGTAAGAATTAAATAACCCCCACCATCGGACACAATAGACGACAGAGTTGGGCATCCCTCAAGGTTCACATCCACAACTTTCTCATCCTTGTAAGCAAAAATGCACACAACCACAATGCATCTCTTCTTACTCATGTACTCATCCTTTCCCCTCTAACCTTGTCCAAGCCAAGAGTTCTACTGGTTGGTCTACTCTTCAGCTGTTTCCAAAAAAGCTAGGCAGTGATCCAGTGAAAGGTTGTTCACAGATTGCGTGGAAGCTGCTGGGGCTGTATGCAACTGTAGTTTGCCCAAATCTCCTTTGGCACTCAAACAAGCACTAAGCCTACAAAATCTCGAGCAGAGGGAATCTAGGAAGCACATTACAGGTAGTCCTCAACTTATGATCCTGTTGGGAATGAATTTCCATTGCTGAGCAATATGGTAGTAAGCCTGACATCATGTGACTGAATTGCACTACATAAGGAACATTGATTCCGGTTGCTGTCAGAACTCCAGATCTCCAGATCATTAAGCGAGAAGCAGGGGGATTCCCAGAAGTGGAAGCTTTGGGGGGATGGGGTTGGAGGTGCCCTGGGGAGCCTTGTGTGCAGGCTGCACACAAGTCAGGTGTCGCTGCAGTGTGATGCTTGTTGAAGGAAGCCAGGGAAAGAGAATGCATGTGTGCTAGCCTATGTAGGATATGGAAAGAATACAGCTCATGGGCCTTTTGGTCTGCTGTGGATCTGGCTCTGCAAGAAGCCCCTTAGCCACAGCACTAAGCCACAGCCCAGCAGTGCAGTGAAAGGAGCTTCTCGGTCTGCCACAGCTCGGGCTACAAGAAGCCCCTGAACCACAGCACAAAGCCCAGCCTCAGTCTGGATCGGCAGCTCAGCACAAAAGGGGCTACTTGTCATCCCAGGAAGCTGCAGCTGCCCAGTCCAGCCACGGTCCCCCTTACCACCCTGCACTTTGAGGCCTTTGCCATCCCATGCTGTACTACCCCAGCTGATATTCACTGTCTTCTTGCTCCGCCTGATGTCTGGCTGATCCTTCACGAGGCAGCTGCTGGGCACGTGAGGCCATCTTTTATTTATTTATTTATTTATTTGATTTGCCAATTGTTTACAAGATAATAAGTATAAGTGTATACATAGTTGTGAATACATGAAATGGGTACATATAAGAAAAATAAAAGAAGAATAAGAGAAACAATAGGACAGGGACGGTAGGCACGTTGGTGCGCTTATGCACGCCCCCTACAGACCTCTTAGGAAAGGGGTGAGGTCAATAGTAGACAGTCTAAGGTTAAAGTTTTTGGGGTTTGGGGAAGAGACCACAGAGTCGGGTAGAGTATTCCAGACATTGACCACTCTATTGCTGAAGTCGTATTTCCTGCAATCAAGTTTGGTGCGGTTTACTTTGAGTTTGTATCTATTGTGTGCTCTTGTGTTGTTATGGTTGAAGCTGAAGTATTCACTGACAGGTAGGACATTGCAATGTATGATTTTATATACCATGCTTAAGTCAGACCGAAGACGGCGTAATTCAAGGTTTTCTAGTTCTAGAATTTCAAGTCTGGTGGCATAAGGTATTCTGCAACGAGTAGAGGAGTGGAGAACTCTTCTTGTGAAATATTTCTGGACTTTCTCAATTGTGCTAATATCAGATACGTAATGTGGGTTCCAGACTGATGAATCTTCCCCAGGTCACATGTAGAAATTGCTGTCCGCAACCTGGGTAAGCATGCAGTCAGCAGCGGTAGTATGCTTGGTCAGCAGCCAGAGCAAGAAGTTAGCGAATGTCAGCTGGGGGAGGGGCAGGGACTATAGAGGGGCCAAAAGAACATAGATAGGGGAATTGAAGCCTCCCTGCACTTGTAAGAGCAGGTGAGCTACCAAGGGCCTGAATTTTGACCACATGACCAGAGGATAGTGCAATGGGTATAACTTTGGGGACCAGTTATGAGTCCCTTAGTTCAGTATCACTGTGATTTCAGTCAGTTGCTGAACTAATGGTCATAAGCCAAGGACTACCCATGCAGGTATGACAGTAAAGTTCAAATTTCCCCAAATACTTACTTGATATAAAAGTGAATTGTGGTGATAAACTATACATGTTTCTTTAATCTCTTTAGGGAAAATAGACTAAAATTGATATTTTTTTATATTCTAGGATCAGTTGTTGTATAATGCAGCATCTAATATGTGCCTTACGGGAAACAGAGAACATCCAAGTATGGTATCATGTAATCCCACAGACTTATTTCAGAAATGGATTTTTGGCCATGAAAATTAGGTACTGCTAATGATAATGAAACCAAAAAATTAGAATTACAATAGTTCTTCCAAGATTTAACTGATTTAACTTACGTTGAATCAATTGAATTATAAAACATTTCTAAGGAGTTTACCACCACCACCCCCGGCATAAATCTGAAGAACATGTTAGTTTCTTAACTGTTTAATATGTTTACAGAATACTGGAAATTACATTTTCAGTATACATTTTAATGAAATATCTATCTTCAGGATGTAATTTCTTATGTTTTGATGATCAATGTGTCTGTCATATATTTTACATGGCAAAAGCCACACACACATTCTTTTTGTTAGTAACTAAACAAAATTGTCAATGAAGGTTTAAATATTTTTTATGTAGTAGACAAAGAGTGCCTAATAGAAGTTGTTTATAATTTTAAACTGTGGTTATTTCCTTTTCCTGTTCGTTGCTTTAACTATTTAGCATGTCTATAATCTATGGTATATTTGTTTAAAACATTACTTCTGAAAAGATTAAGTTATTTTTGGAGCTTGAGAATGAAACAAGCTCTGAAATTCTCTGTTGCCATTTCTCTGTGTCTTTGTTCACTATGTTTGAAAGGGTAGCGTTCATTCCTTTAAGATTCTAAAACCGATTATAAAAGGCTTGCATTGCTGAAGAAAAAGTGTCCGGCATTTCTTTTGAAATAATACATTACCAGTTTGATAATTATATAGAAATACATTATTTTTGTATTATGTACAAATTAGGTTTCTGTGTTTTCAGTTTCAATTCCTACCTCTTTAATTTTCTTGTTGTATACTCAATCAAATATGAACTTTATATGATAAAGGGCTAATATAAGAACATTGCAAGTTCAAATAATTTCTTCCGTCAAAAGGATGGAGCACTTTTTATTTTAATTGAGCCGCACAATACACAGTTATTTCAACATGCAAAAAATTATAGCTAAATTTTGCTGGTTGTAACATATGCAGCTGGCTCAATTGTTCTGCTATATTGTGAGGGGCAAATTGCTGAGAAAAGGTATCATTAAAATGAGTTATACCAAAATTAAAAACAAACTTGTTTGTGCATGGTATCAAAAGTGTATTGCAAAAACAAGGATAAACTTTAAGTTTGCCCCATCCCAATTATGCTCCTAAAGGAATGCTTTTCCTGAGAACTGCAGCTTTATGTCTTCCACTCTCATTGTCCTAGTGGTTGTCTAGGATGAGTCACAGAGGTTCACTATGGAAATGAAATTAGCTGTAACCAGATTCATAGTTGGTCATTGCCAACCTTGTGTTTGTGTGAAAGCAGATAATGTGTTTATATTTCAGCCAAAATACCATTATATTTGCAATTTCAGAAGATAAAAAGATTTTTAACTATATTTTTTAAATAGATACATGCGTATTTCAACAAAAAAAGTATCTATTGCAGCTCTGCAAGTACAGTAAAGACGTTTACTGTTTAGATGAAGTTTGCAGAAATATATTTTGAGGTTTGCCAGATGTGTAAATGAGAGCACTGTTCTTATTTACAAGTGTGTTTTATGGTTTTCTATTTATATAACTCTCCTTCTTGTTTGTTGCAGTGTTTAAGTCAGAAAGTTAAGTACTATTTTCTCTTCTTCCACATTTGAAGTTCCAGAATTTTTCAACCAAAACCATAAACTGAGGCTATCATTAGCCTTCATAGTATTTCATTGTGGCATTTTTATCACAAGAACCAGAATCGGCTTGTTCTTCCGCTACTGCCTTCTCAGTGGTTTTATATCTGTCTAAATGTGAATTTAGGATAGAGTGTTAATTCTTTTTTTGTACTCCTAACAGTTTTTACTTCTGTGTAATATATTGTGCTTCTTTAATTCTGTTTTGTAACAATAATAAAAACAATTTTAACATCAGCTAACTTTGGAATCGTAGTTTCTTGTATTTGTGTCTTTAATCCGAGCATCCCCAAATATTGAAAACAACATAGTGCTCAAGGCACTTGAAAAGAGGATAATAAAAACTAATGACAAAACATTAACAACCTGTGGCATCTAGTGCTGAGACCAATTCTAAGCTGATGTTCTGCAAGGTAAATTCAGATGTAGTTGAATATTTTCACTGCATATTAAGTCAGAGAACAAGCGTAAGGAGTCTCCTGAAAGCTGTGAATAGAATAGGAATTAAAACACAATACTAAATATATTAATACAATAAATCTAATAAATCAGATTTTCCAATTCTATACCAAAGCTAAGTCAAGGATTACCTGTATATCATTTAATAGATAATCAGAGTTGGAAGGGACCTTGTAGGTCATCTAGTCCAACCCCCCGCCCAAGTGGGAGACCCTACACCATTTCTGACAGATGGCAGTCCAATCTCTTCTTGGAAGTCTCAAGTGATGGCGCTCCCACAACTTCCGAGAGCAAACTGTTCCATTGGTTGATTGGTGTCTCTGTCAGAAAGTTTCTCCTTATTTCCAGGTTGAATCTCTCCTTGTTCAGTTTCCATCCATTATTCCTTGTCTGGCTACAGGCGCTTTAGAAAATAGCTTGACCCCCTCCTCCCTGTGGCAGCCCCTCAAATATTGGAAGACCGCTATCATGTCTCCCCTGGTCCTTCTCTTTACTAGACTAGCCAAGGCCAGTTCCTGCAACAGTTCTTCATATGTATTAGCCTCCGGTCCCCTAATCATCCTAGATGCTCTTCTCTGTACTATTTCTAGAGTCTCAACATCTTTTTTATAATGTGGTGAACAAAACTGGATGCAGTACTCTAGGTGTGGTCTTTATAGAGTGGTTTTAGTACTTCCCTTGATCTTGACTGTATCCCTCTGTTGATACAACTTAGGATTGCATTGGCTTTTTTGGCTGCTGCTGCACACTGCTGGCTCATATTTAGCTGGTTGTCCACTAAGACTCCAAGATCCTTCTCACAGTTACTGCTATTGAGCCTGGTTTCACCCAGTCTATATGTATACTTTTGGTTTTTCTTGCCTAAGTGTAGGACTTTACTTTTCTCTACACTGAATTTCATTTTGTTAGATATGGCCCAGTGTTCTAGTCTGTCAAGATCCATCTGGATCTTGAGCATATCTTCTTGGGTGTTAGCTATTCCTGCCAGCTTAGTATCATCTGCAAATTTGGTAAGTTCCCCTTCTATTCCCTCATCTAAGTCGTTAATGAAGATATTGAAGAGTACTGGGCCTAAGACGGAACCTTGTGGCACCCCACTGCTTACTTCCCTCTATGTAGACTTAGACCCATTAAGGACTACTCATTGAGTATGGTTTGCCAGCCAGTTGCGAGTCCATCTAGTGGTGGTACTATCTATTCCACTTTTTTCTAGCTTACTAAGAAGTAGATTGTGGCCTACTTTGTCGAATGCCTTGCTGAAATCTAAATACATTATGTCCACAGTATTTTGCTGGTCTACTAATTTAGTCACTGTGTTGAAGAATGAAATGAGTTAGGTTTGGCATAATCTGTTCTTAACAAACCCATGCTGACTGCTAGTTCTTACTTTACTTGTTTCTAGATGTTGGCAGATCTGTTTTTTTATCATCTTTTCCAGTATCTTCCCGGGTATTGATGTTAGGCTGATTGGTCTATAGTTTTCCCCTACCTGTTGAAATTTAGATGGATTGGGACTACAGTTCCTTGATTTTCCGAGTATAATGGTTCACTGATGAATGGGGAGACTTTTTTTAAGCAGAGGCCCCCAACCTTTCTGGCTCCATGGATTGACAGCAATGGCAACAGTTGGGGGGGGGGGGAGAGATGATTTCATGCACAAAACCTTGATCTCACACGTGTACAAATGAAGCTTTGCCCACTTGCCCGGTGTTTGTGTAGTCCAGTTCCCAAGCCATGGACTGTTATCGGGACACGACCTAGGAGTTGGGGGGCCCTGATGTTAAAATTATCCTGAACATGACACAGATATTTTGTAGCATTCAGAAACAGAAATGGGCTGACTTTCCACGTGGTCCAAACTAATGGAAAGTTATTCTGTATTCAATAAAGGCATTTCCTTTAATTCAAATAGAACAGTATGTCTAATTCACTAAAGTGAAACGTAGAACTCTTTTAGCAGTTGTATGTTCTTTTCCTTTGCATAATTTTGAGAAAAGCATATTAGAAATGTAGGGCTTATTAAATGTTAAATATATATTTTGTTCACTATAGTTTCTCATCCACAAACTTTTATTTTAGGACTATTTCAGATTCAATCAACTTGTAAGAAAAACAATGATTACAGGATAATTTATAAACTATTGGAAAACAGCATCAAAGTTTTCAACTTATTCAGTATTAAGCAGCTGCTCAGAAATATTACTGCTTTCTTTAAAAAAGAAGAGTTATTCTAAATGTTTACTCAATTAGCCAGTGGAGGATTCTGTTGCAGAATTATTTCCAGCAATCCATGGCTTCTAATCTATGCATGTTGCATAATAAAATTCTGATTAAGATCTGATGTTTATAATATATCGATGCAAAAACAGTTTTCTCCCTTTGATGAAATGAGCCCTAGTTATCTTTCTTGATGGAAATGTGGAACCACAGTTTGAACAAGATAAAGTGGAAAATAACTGGCCAAAGATATATTGCCACTGAGGCTTAGCCCTATGAGCAAACATGGAGTACATAGTATAAGTACTGCAGTTTCTAGCCTCAAATTTCCAAAGCATTTTTCTGGGATGCCTGAATGAAAGCACTCAGGCTTCCTGTTTCTAGCATGGCTTCATAATAAAGCTCCCTCTGAGTCTTAAAATTGCAGGTGTAAAAAAGGCATTAAAAAAATCAATAAAATAAATATAACTCGTTCTATTAAAAAAAAGGCCATGCAGGGATAAAGTATCAGTCCTTTATTCCATTTCAATGATCTCCTTCCAGCTTCTCCCCAAACAATTTTGTGAAAGAAGAGAAGCAAGGAACCTTTTTTAGTTTCTCTCAGACTATGCTGGAATTATCTGTTAGTTTAAGCAACGCCAGTCACTGGCGAAGTACCATTTTTTTGTATCATCTTCAACTGAGTAATGGGGAGTCTTTTGGAGCATGAGGATAGAAAATGAAGAAGAGAGTAATGTGGAGTGGGAAGAAAGGGGGACGAGATGAGGGAAGAAGCAACTGCTGGTGTGTGAA